TAAAATTATTGAATAAATTATTTGACCACTTTAAAATAATAAATTCCACTTTTAAATTTTTTTAAAAAAAATTTATAAAGAAATTTTTTTTGAAATACTTGTATCTCAATTAATTCATAACATATTATTGTATTTCAATAAGTCCTATTATTTGGACATTTAATCTATCGAATCTTAATTCTCATATTTAAGATATTTTATGAATAATTTTATCCTTACAAATATCTTTTTGAACCCTTGACAACATGGTGATTGACAATGTGAATTGTTCACATTATCGTGTGAACATTCACATTGACCGTAAATATTCATGCGCGCTTTACACTATTATTATTATGAATATTTTGATAATTATGTCACAAATAGAATTTATTAGAACATAAGAAAATAATTTAGATTATGTTTCTGTTTGGCAAGTGGATTGAGTTTAAGTTAAGACTAAAAAAAACACAAAAGGCAAAATAAGCTAAATAAGTGAATAAAGCAAATGTCACATCCAAATTATAATCATTTCATTTTTTCTATTAAAAAAGTCAAAAAAAAACTTTTAAAAAATTCAAAAACAGAACTAATTTAGCCAAACTAAATTAGCTAAAAAAAATCAAAAAATCAGGCTAGGAAAATTATTTCCAAACGAACTCTAAATAGAGAATAAGTAAGTGAAAAAAGATTTATGAATAAATTTTTTTTTTTAATCTAAGATTTAAAAACTATATAAAAAAATGATTGTCCCATTATATTACTTAATTATAACTACGCTTCTTACTTAAACTACAGATTATCCTCTATAATTTTAAAAATTAAAAATACTCCTTTATCAAAAGAAAAAAATTATTTAACATAATTAACAAATTAATAAAATTGTTAATTTTTCTTTTATATAACAATAAAATACATGAATTGTTAATTGAAATATATTTATAACATCGTTAAAAATTGTTAATTACAGAATGATTTATCAATAAAATTGGTCAATTGTTATGTGATTTGAAATTTTATGGGACGAGAGATAATTTTAAGAAGAAAAATGATATAGAAGCTCACTTTTTAAATTTATTTTTTAGACTCAGTGATGTGTAAATGATATGATTAGTAGATGATTAAAAAAGATATAAAAAAGAGTGCTATCTTAAATATTTTAATTAATTGTCACATTATTATATTTAAAATTTTAATTTAATTTTTAAAATTATATAATAATGCTCTTGAGTTTGAATCAAAATTAATGGAATCTTTGTTAGCACACGGCAGGAGTAATGTTTTTTTTAACATATTTCTTATCAAATCTTTTTAGGATTAATTATCAATAGGTCTTAATAGTTGGATTTAATTTTCATCAAGTCCTATTGAAAATAAGTTTTGGTAAAATTGTCGTTAAAAATAGTTTTTTTTGTGACTATTTTTTATATATGTCGCTAAAAATTAATAATTAGTGACTTTTTTTGTCATGATTTTTATAAATTGTCTTTAAAACTTAATTAGTGACGTTTTTTCATGACAAATTTTTTCCATAGGACCTATTAGATAATAAGTTCACTTTTTAGGACCTACACGTAAGTATCTCATTTTTTTATTGACCTCATTTGAAAACATATTATTTTAGTAACTTTTTAGTTTTTTGACTAAAATATGAGGTAAAAAAAGTAATATATTTTGAATGATTTTTTTAATTTTTTACGAAAAAAATTTGTAAAAAATAAAAAAAAATCTTTAAATTTTTTATATAAGTTATAAGTTTTTTAATTTTTTTAATTATTTTTACACTTTTAAATTAAAATATATGTATAAGCATTAGTACACTCTACTGTTTTCCCGTGCCTACCTACAGCTCGGATCCACTAGCTTTATGTCTAACGTTACATTCCCGAAAATGTTTATAATGTATTTCTTTTTATAATTATGCCATAATAATTCATAACATAAAAAAAAATAAAAATCATAACTTTACTCACTATAATAATTTGAAATCTTAATAATAATTTGAAATCTTAATAATTAAATTTTTTCTTATGGTGCGTCCTACCTAATTATATTACAATAATTTGTACTGAGGCTTATTTTAGCAACTTGGCTAAAAATTATTTTTTTGACTTTTTTTTTTTTTAGATCATATCATCTCTCTATTTTTTATACATTTTTTAAAAAAAAAAGTCAAAAAAATTAAAACGTCAACTTTTAATCTATTTTTCAAAACAAGCTTAACACAAAAAATAGTAACTTCTCTTAAGATAATAGGAGACTTACGTATAGATCCTAATAAGTAAACTTATTATTCAATAAGTCTTATGATAATTAATAATATTTTTCATTTAATACTATAAAAAAATTACTAATTGTTAATTTTTAGTGACAGTTTGAAAATTTTATCATAAAAAATGTCACTAATTATAAGTTTTAGCGATAGTTTAAAAAAATATCACAAAAGAACGTCACTAATTTACAACTTTCAACGATAGTTTGAAAAATTCGTTACAGAAAAACGTCACTAATTGTAAGTTTTAGGGACAATTTATAAAAACTGTAACAAAAAAGTCACTAATTATCAATTTTTAACGACATATGTAAAAAATTGTCACAAAAAATTTATTTTCACCGACAATTTTATTAGGACTTAAAGCATCCTCAGTAGACCCCTAAATCATTCTCTTACCTACTTTAGAGGGTTAGAGCTTCCTTATACCACCCCCATCAACTCTCTTATAAGCCATTCCAAACTGTAGCTCACTTTTTTTTTTTGGCTTTGCTTTGCTTTGTTTACCGATTACAGTGCACATTTATGGTTTTTATTTTTTTAAAATTCATAATTAAAAATTATATTTTAATAAAATAAAAAAATAAAATTTGTTAATAGAATAGAGAAAAAATAAAAAATTTGTTGGGAGAAATAGATGAAAAAGTAATTCTTAAAATAGATAATAAATTTTTAATAATATTTTAAGGTAAAATATAAATAAACTGGTAAAGATGCTCTTATTTTTAATAAGATTTGATGGAAATCTAATTATTAGAACCTATTGGCTAAGAGAATTTGTTAATAGAATAGAGAAAAAATAGAAAATTTGTTGGAAGAAATAGATGAAAAAGTAATTCTTAAAATAGATAATAAATTTTTAATAATATTTTAAGGTAAAATATAAATAAACTGGTAAAGATGCTCTTATTTTTAATAAGATTTGATGGAAATCTAATTATTAGAACCTATTGGCTAAGTGATCATTATTTTTTATTAAGATTTAAGATTTTAAATTCAAATCCGAACCACCTAAAGAGATTATTAAAAATTTATCCAACTGTTAATTTCAAAACTTTAAGGGCATGTTTGATTGGGTGGATTAGAGTATGGGATTAGGATTATTAATCCGTGAGCCCAATTATCCTATGTTTATTTTAATATTTTAGTTTAGGATTATTAATCTAATGGATAACTAATCCAATAAATATGTAGAATTATTAGTAATGGAATAAGGGTGAAATTATTAATCCAATTGGATAGTGAATACTACATTAATTTAATAAAATTATTAATATTTCACTATTAATCTTATTAATCAAACATGACCTAAGATTCATCGGGATATTCAGTTATAAAAAATAATAAGAAAGACGATGAGATGTAAATAGTAAAACCCGTCAAAGAGTAGGCGGCTTCAAACAAAACAATTTTAAGCCATGCAGTTGGACAAAAACCCAACAATATTTTTCGACTTACCACAAAAGCTCTTCACAAAAGGACATTTTTCAGAATCTTTCACAATTTCACACTTTGCCGATTACAGCTGACCACTGTACAAGTACGATGTTCCAAATTATTATGTTTTCAACGCCTAATCTATCATTGTAAAAATTATTACGAGACAATCTTATTCCTTGTAAAACACCGATAAAAATAAGAATAAATTATAGTAAATTTTGATGTTTGTTTTTTAAAATAATCATTGTTATTCATCAATAAAATTTCTCTTTCTTTTATTAAAAAAAAAACATTTACCGTAAACATTTTCAAATTATGGCTATTTGTATTTTTTTTTCTCCTCTAACTTCAAAACATATAATAATTAATCACCTCAAATTATTACCTTATTACACTTAATAACTTCTGTTAGGATTTGTCCCGAGATTTGGAATTAAGCTATGCATAAAGCACATGATATACTTATTGATTTTTAAAACAATAATATCCATTATTGATTTTTTAATGATAATAATACATTTATCTAATGATTTCATTTGCATTTTGTCTCCCTTATCTTAATGACAAAGTATAAACAAGATCACTAAATAAAAATATTATAGCCTTAAAATTTAATAAGTGTATCATGTGCTTTATATATAATCTGATTTTATATAAATCCTTCAGATAATCCTAACACAAGAAATTAATTGTAATCAGAAAATAATTTAAGGAGAAGGATTCCCTCCAATTCAGATTTTGGACTGGAGGGCGTTGTTTGGGCCCATGAGGTTCATCACGGGTTCCGTTTCGATGATCTAAATCGGTTATTTTGTCAGGCACTTCGTGTATTTCTCCCACAAAAAAAAAATTAAATCTATCCGATAACTGAAACTTATTCAATTTATTGAGTTTGTTACTAAAAAATGTATGATTTATTTTAAAAAACATAATTATTGTGTTTTTTTTAGTAAAAAATTGAACAAGTTATAATTATCGAATCGATCTAATTTTTTTCATGGATGAAATATACGAAATGTCCAATAAAATAAATGATTCAGATCATCAAAATGAGACTCATAGTGAGCCTCACGAGCCCAAACACCGTCTTCCAATTCAAAATTTGGACTGAAAAGAATCCTTTTTCATAATTTAATGTGATTTATTGTTAAATTTTGAAATTTATTGAATAAAATATAAATAAGCCATAATTTTAAAAAATTTACTCTAATTTGACAATCCCCAATTTACAACTTTCAACGATAGTTTGAAAAATTCGTTACAGAAAAACGTCCTATAAATACCCTCCAATCCAAGCCAAAGTCCCAACAACCACCAACCAAACAAGAGAGGGAGAGAGAGAGATGGAATTCTCTTGCAAGGATTTCAAGGTAGGAAAGTGTGAAGGTGAGAAATTGGTGGATGGTGAGACCATGCCACTAGTGCTACTACCACCACAACCCAACAAGAGTGGCTTGGAATCGCTGGTCTCGGCTGTGAAGAATAACAAGGAGTGGTTCGAGGAGATGATCGTCAAGAATAGTGCCGTCCTGCTTCGAGGCTTTGACGTAGAGAAGGCCGAGGACTTCAATGATATCGTCGAAACCTTCGGGTGGGACGACATCCGGTACGTGGGGCCTGCGCCCCGGACGCATATTTACAAGAGAATTTGGACTGCCAATGAGGGTCCACTGTCTGAGTTTATATACTACCACCATGAAATGGTTTTGGTAAGTTCTAACTTCTCAGGTTTCATATCCATATTCATATTCATATTAATACATGGTTCTATTCAGAAAGTGTTTGATAACACTATGGTTTTTGTGTAGAATGGTTTTGTTTTTTTGTGAACTAAGCACAGATTGTGATTCATCCAGGAAAGTGTATATTGATTCTATTAAAAGTTGTGCACTCCACTGCTTTAGATCAATTACAAATTGTGTTTTGTTTAGTATATGAACAAAATCAGACATGGCTCTTGTGCTAACAAGAATTCTCTCTTCAACCAAAATTCAACTTTATTTGGTGGGGAAAATTTCAACTTTATTTCCTTCATGGAAAACTCTGCTTATCATGGAAAGTTATCAAGAAAATCACTGTGAAAGGAGAAGTATGGTTGAGATTTAATTGGTGTATTGTAAAATTCATATATAAATAAATCTGAACTGCACGTTGATATTTTCAAATAAAATTCTGAATAAAAATTTTAAATATGTAGTACTACTATTCCTTCATTTGATCAAGATGAAAGTTGAAGGTCTGATGTGTTGGTCCATGTTCACCTTCTTTCTGGTTTGTAGTCATAGGTTATTATAGCATGGCTAAGATCCTATAAACTGTTCAACATGCATACAAATGAGGGAGTATGGGACCAAGCAATTCAACTCTCATGCCGAGACTTGAAATGGGCTCCAACAGTTCAAGCGATACTAAACCAAATGGCCAAGAATATGAAATCTAAAGCTAATAATGATTCATAGGTTGGCTTGGCCCCATAAAAGGAAGATCAAATCTTTACATTAGATGTGAAATTTTGGATAACAATTTGCGCAATTTTTTGAACGAATAGACTTTTCTTTTCTTTTCTTTTCTTTTTCCCTCTCTTTCAAACTCTTCTTAGTGACTACCAAACCATTTTTAACAAGTATAATATATATATATATATATATTTTTAACAAGTCAAGCACAAATTTAATTGTGATGTATTTGACAACTTTTCTTGACCTCAGCATCAACCACTTTGATTTGACATGTTTGGTTAACAAACTGGCATATATTAAACCCATGATTAATCCTTGTGGAAAAACATATATCAATAGAATGATGGTGAATGCTGTACCAATAGGAAACCAAGTGGTTGTAGTTATTACCTACTCTAAACGTCATAAAGCATGAATTGGCTTTAATTAATCACCTTTTTTTCTTTTTCTTTTTCTTTTTCTTTTTTGGTGTGATTTGTGATGAGATGGCCAATTAATCAGATCAAGGAATTTCCGAAGAAAGTAATACTTTTCTGTGAAATACCGCCACCGGAAGGTGGGGAGACACCGTTCGTGCCTAGCTTCAGGGTAACGGAGAGGATGGTGGAGGAGTTCCCAGAGGTGGTGGAGGAACTGGAGAAGAAAGGCCTCAAATACACGTTCACGGCGCTCAGCAACGACAATACATCGTCAATGAGAGGCCGAGGTTGGGAGGATGCTTTCGGTACCTCAGACCGCGCTGAAGCCGAAAGAAGGTATGTGTGTATGTACACTTATGAGTGGGTAATTCTCTCCGGTATATGTATATTAGACCCTAATGCCTTACAAACTAAGAAAGCATCATTGAGTTTACATTATGGAATCTTTCATGATTTGTTTCTAACATTGCTTAAATTTATAAGTATTAGGCTTTTCCCCTGTCAAGAAATTAGATTAGATTCCCAGTCATGTCAGATCCATTACGAGCCCTACCTTGATAATCTGATATATTCATTTTATAAATCTCTTATTAGTGTCTAGATTATTTACGGAGAAAAAATCAATTGATACAATAACTATAGCTATATATAATTTTTATCACGTTTGTTTTCAAGCAAATAGAAGGTCTATTTCTAATATCATAATTGTAATTTATTTTTTAAAGATAAATGTAATCAAATAATATAGTTATTATTATCGGATCAATCTTAATTTTTTTATTTTTTATTTATTTATGTATAATCTTCATTTTGGGATGTACAAAATGAACTTCTCTGCAACTTCTTAACTGCATACCAGCAAGTTCTTTATTCTAATACTTGATTTGGTTCATGTTTTTTTAACTTGACCAAAAAACTAGCTTACTTTCATTTATATATGAACTTTTTTTAAATTTAGCCAAGTTTTTTATTTTTTTTTATTTTTAGAGAAGTTGAATTTTTCCCAAACTACAAAACCCTGAACTGAACTGAACCAAACCCAAGTGTTTGACAATAACTTCAAAAATGGTTATGTAGAAATTCTCTTGCAAGTGAAATATGCTTTCTGAATCTTTTTTAAAAAATAAAAAATAATTTGACAAAAATATATATCAAAAAGATTTTTTTTTTATCCCCTAAATTTGGTCTCAAAAAAAGAGAAAATCACATGAAAATGATGTAGTTTTTTTCATTTGTTCATCATTTTTCTTATATAGAAATTTTTTCAAAAAACAGATTTTATTAACGAAACAATCTTGTTTTGCAGGGCGAAGGCTCTGGGAATGGACATGGAGTGGCTACCAAACGGAGGGGTGAAGACCATCTTGGTGCCGCGAAATCTAACAAGGGTGTTTGAGGGAAGAAAGGGGAGAAAGATGTGGTTCAACACCATCGTGGGGATGCATGGGAAGGAGATCAGCTCGGCCACAATGGCGGACGGAACGGAGATACCGGAAAAAGTGGTGAAGAGATGTGAAGAGATCATTGAAGAAGAAAGCATCCAATTCAAGTGGGAGAAGGGTGATGTGCTCTTCCTTGATAATTTGGCTACCCTCCATGGAAGAAGACCCTCCCTTCCTCCTAGGAAAGTCCTTGTTGCTACTTGCAAGTAGGGCTTCAATTTGTGATCCACTTAATTCAAGAAATGGTCTTGAACACAGGAACCAACTACAAAATTAGACAAAATCTTTTCACATGAAATAAGTCTCGCACCAATATAAGAGGGTTTATGTCTCATTTTGTGATTGGTTTTTGTGTAGAAATAATATGATCAAGTCTGAGTCTTTGTTCCTTTATAAGGCATATATATGCTTTTAATATTTAACTTTTAATGAAGTAATCAGTATTCAATAAAACATGGTTTCCACACAATAAGGATAGCGAACAATAATTAATACATCATGTACTAGAAATGCAAGGAAATGCAATAAAATTTTATTCAATTCTCCATATTATGAAGATCTATATATTGTCCTTTAACTTTGTGCAAAGTTCTAGCTCAAAGGACTCCAATTTTCTCCACAGATCAATATGCCCGTGTTCCAATTTTAATTTTTTTTCTCTCTCTTTCCTTTTGGATCGGCAAAAGAATAAATTTTATTGATTTAAAATCAAGGTGAAACCTTACATCTTAAATCAATAAAGAGGACTAAAATAATAACAACAAAGGCAACTTGAAAAATGCTATAAGTGTGATAACCTTGTTCCGTATGATGCTAATTGGTCCTTAGTATGAATATGATTATGTGTTTGATATGATTTTGTGTGTCATTATGTGAAAATATGTAGTTTGAATTTCTATCTGTTCAACGTAGGAAAATCTATTTGATTATCTGCTTTGAAATTTAAATTGAAGGCTCTAACGGCCACCAAACGCGAAATTGATTACGCCATTGTGATTAGCGTAATTTTTAGAGCCTATGGTGAAATTTAATTAAAAATTAATTCGGATCAAATTAATTAGATTAAATTAATGATATAGTGCTCAATTATTCAATATTGTAAATATAATTAAGGAAACTCATATAAGTGGACATTATACACCCAACCCCTCTCTTTTTGTTCATTTGGCTGAAACCAACTCAAAGAAAGGAGAGAGAGGGCCGGCTAGAGAGGGAGAGAGGGAAACAATTGAAGTTTTGATTTTGAAGCTTGAGTAATTTGAAAACCAACTCAAGATTTGACTATAAATTGGGAAGATTGGGCTTTTAGGTAAGCAATTGGCTATGAATTCATGAGTTTAATATTGTAATTTGTGAATTCAAAATTGAAGGGTGATCAAGAACAAGAATTGTGTTGTATTTGATGAATTTGAAGTCATGGAATGCATGCATGTGTATAATTGCCATGAATTTGTAGAGTTGAGCATGAAAGGTATGATCCATGTAGGATTTTGGTTAGAGTTCATGCTTGAGATCACCATTTGCACTATTTGAGTTGGTAATGAAAGTTATATCTCACATGCATGTACAATTCCTAAGAGTATGAGCTTTGAATGCATGAAATTGTTATGTTGAAAATAAGTTTGGTGTGAATTGAGACATGCATGTGATTAATTTGTGAAATTGAGCCTCATAATGTAATGAATTTGGTGTTGGATCATGTTAGTACATGTATATGTAAAGTTTGAGCCAAAATCATGTGTTTAGAGCCTTTGAATATCAAATTCGAACTCAAGAACAAGTTCTGGAAAACCCAGAATTTATGACGTCCGCTCGAGCGGCGATTCCGCTGCTCGAGCGAGAAATGCAAGTTCCCAGAACTTTTTGCAAACATGATGTCCGCTCGAGCGGGGAGCTATGTAGGATGACCTTCCGCTCAAGCGTCTGAGTTCGCGCTCGAGCGTAGAAAAGATGTAACTAGTACTTTTGTAGACCTTATGGGTCCACTCGAGCGGGGACGTCCACGCTCGAGCGGGGACCCCTGTTTCTGAAATTTTGAAAATGCGTTCTGTGTTTCATTTTCCATTCCCTTTCACTTCTAAGTACTCTTAGGCATGCATTAAGCATTGTAATGAGTTAAAGGATAAGAATGAAGCCTAAAGAAGAATATGTGAATTAAGAACAGATTGAATTGTTTGTGACCCTTTGTGTTCATGGAATGTGTAGGGTCAAGCTCTAGGGCAAATCATCCAGCCGATCACCGTGAGTAATATCTTAACAAAGATATCTGAAATATGCTATTTGTCCAGTTGCTCATCTTCCTATAAGTCTGTCAATTTGAATTGTGGACAAATATTTGCTATGTCGAAAGAATGAAAGTCTGAATAGGCCAAAGGCCAGTTTGACATGAAAGTATGAATGGGCCAGAGGCCAGTTTGACATGAAAGTCTGAATGGGCCAAAGGCCAGTTTGACAAGAAAGAATGGTTGGGCCAAAGGCCAGTTTGACATGAATAGATTGGGCCTGAGGCCGTCCGATGTGTTTGGAACCGTAGTTACTTGACCTATATATGTATGTATTAGATAGAAATATGGATTGGGCTCAAGGTCGTCTGATGTATATTGTTCTAATGTATTTCTTTATTTGATATTATTCACTGGGCTTTCGCTCACGCTCATTCATGTGTCTGTAGGTAAGCCAAGGGAGCTCCAAACCCAGCCTCAGTGAAGTTTGTGTGGAACAACCAAGGTTTGAGGAGTCAGCCCATACGTCTCACGCACGAGACTCGTCTTCGCCCTTTTACTATCTTGTTTTATTTTGTCATGTTGGCGAGGACTTTGGATACGTTGTAAGTAGTTTTGATTGGCTGACCTAGACTTGAATAATCTTGTCTGTACAGAACTTTATGTTACTGTATTTACTAATGTGAATTATTAATATGAATATGTATGGTTTGTTATAATGTGCCATGTAAGCACAGCTCTATGGACAAAGTCTTAAATTTGCTTCCGTTTGACCCCTTTACTCTGATGAGTTATGTCTGGTTTGGTTTGAGGTCGTAGGTAATCCCTTGATTACTGGCCGGTTATGTCCTTAACCCATAGGGGCAGGTCTGGGTCATGACAATAAACATCAAAGCAAAGGCTAATAACCCAACTAGATTGGCATGATAACCTCACCCAAATCATTTGCAGCATAATCCAACCAACTAGTTGATGAGTAGTACAACCAATTGAACAGCAGTCACAAAAACAAAAACAAAGACAAAAGCAAAAAGGGCCACCACCACTAGAACACAGCTAAACCAAATACACCTCAGCAGCCCTTTATACAATCCAACCTGAAGACAATATCATCAACAGAAAAAGGCAAACCTTACTGTTGTACTTCACCCAAAGAGCTATATTGACTTTGATAGAATCCAATATATTCACCCAATGAATACTCTTCCCCTCAAACTTGAATGCATTCCTAGCTTTCCAAACACTCCAAATTACTGCAGCAGGAGCAGCCTCCCAAACCTGTTTCCCCTCTGAATTTAACCCCATTCCACCAGGTCAATAGATTGCTGATATAAGTTAACATCCCAATGGCAAAAATAAACTCAGTATTAATTGCCTGAAATTACATAAAGAAGGTTTTTATGACAAGCAATCCTTCCAAGAGAGGACCATCTTGCAGAGTAAATTTTGAATATCACTTGTTGCTAGTGATAATTGAAAGATCGGTTAAAAAAACTCAATACTTGTTGAATGTTGAGCTGCTTGTCTCTCCAAGTACACTTTGCACGTGAGGGGGAGTGTTAACTTGATATAATATTGTTAGAATCTCTCCTAATAGGTTAAGTTTTTGAAACAGTTGGTGATTTAACAAAACCAAAGACTTAAGCTGGTGAATGAGGAGAGATGAGGTCACACATGGAGGGCAGTATTAACTTAATATACTGTTAGGATCTTTCCTAATAGCTTAAATTTTTTTAAATAATTGGTGACTTAATAAAACCAAAAAGTTAGGTCGGTGGATGTGGAGAGACAGGGTCGTACGTGAGGAGAAGTGTTAATATATATTGTCACACATTGTTGGGATTATTTCTTGACAACTTACACTTTTGAAATAATTAGTGATTTAACAAAACCAAAGAGCTGAAGTGCTCATTCAACGGGTGTAATTTCTAATCAAGTCTCACTGCTATACGATACAGCTTTTCTATCAAAAAAATTATCAAGCAGACAACAACACATTTTTGTGAAGCCGCCAAGCTTTGGAGGTTTTGTAGTCAAATGTGTTGCCGGCATGGCATATGTAGGACACAACCCTCTGTTGTAGTTTTACAATTGGCATTTGCCGTTCTCACACTATCCTTAAAATGGTTTGTGAGAGTAGTACAGAAAGGCCATGTTTGATTCACAATACTAATAGTGAGGTATTAATAATCCTATCAAATTAGTGTGGTATTAACTATCCCAACCCTGCCCCGTTACTAATAATCCTACAAATTTGTTGGATTAATTATCCATTGGATTAATAGTCTTAAACCAAAATGTCAAAACAAACATAAGATGATTGGGCCCACAGATTAATAATCCTAATCCCATGATTTAATCCTTCCAATCAAACATGTCCAAAGAGTTTTGACTTTGTGTCTGTCTATGAGGGTCTAACTAAAGCCAATTAAAAGTATTCAACTTCATGCATTTCCAACAACTAAGGACATGCCTAGTACTAATTAATCAATCAACATAATAATAAATTTTCAATTTAACAAAATCTCTAAAAACTTAAACCAATGACATGATTGTTAGCTCAAGACATATATAGTAATTACAAAATTTTTGAAAACAAATTAGTAACTATTACCCAAATAGAATCAAAGAGTCAAGACTTAAGTGGAGGAATAATTTTAAGGATATTAAACACTGTTAGCTGGCGACAAATAGTGCCTGCAAAATTTTTAAAACAAAATATCAACTGTTACCCTTAGGCTATATTTGGTTAATGAATTTAGAGAGAAATTTGAAAAGAAGAAAGATGTGTAAAATATCAATAAAATGTAATTATAATTCATTCACATTTCACCTACATTTTTTTTTCTCTTTGCAAATCTCTCTCCAAATTTATGAACCAAACACACCATTTTCTTTTCCTTTGCAAATCTCAAGTAAGACCAATAAAGATAGAATTAAAAACAAATATGTTCATTTTTTTTCAGGTTTGAGAAAGAAAACAAAAAAAACAACAGTGAGCCAGCAAACTACTGCTATGCTCAGATCGTTAGAATAGCACCAAGATAAGAGAGACCAAATAAGATATACTTTGATCATGTAAAACAAAATCCGAAAGATATAATGGTAAGAATATATATATATATTGTAAGAAAAAGTCAAATTTATTTAAATAGACCGAACATATAGGCGTTGATAAAATGAAATAACAAAATAAGCATCTATATTAGTCAACGCCAATTGATTGGCACACAATGCTTGGAACCATCTAAACTGTACCGAAAATGCATAGGACCATCAAAATTGTTCTATTAAGCCATTCAAAATCCTCCGACTTGGGAGTGAGGGGCACTCTCCTAGGTTGTGCTTAGGTTGCCACTGATTTCCCTCCCACTTTTTCACAGTTCAAAACAAAATTTAAAAATAATAATAAAACAAACAATAAAAATATGAAACAAACAAAGCCAATCAAAATCTTGTTCCAACTATTTTGTCAACTATATTGCAAAGCCAACGCCAGGGTATATCTCAACCTGTTCACCTCTCAGTTTTTTGTTGTATAACAGTAAAATTTCAATTCAAATTTCTGCTAATCACATGAACCAACCTTACCTTGTTGGGATACTATTATTACATCAATTCTTCTCTACAACAAGCTGCATATCCAGAAAGAAGAAAAAAGACAAACAAACAAACAAAAATTAATGTTGATTAAGAGCAAAGAGATTTTAAGACATGTAAAAAAATACCACAAATCCTAATTTTATTTTTCGGCCAATGAAGAGTAAGAGGCACAAACATTACAAGCACAGTCCTAAATCAAGCTTTAATTTCTACCCAAACATTTGGAAACTACCACATACTATCTTAGGAATCACGAGTTGACATGCCCCCCCTGCCACGACCCCTCCCAACATAGCCGTAGCCGTAGCCGTAGCCGTAGCCGTAGCCGTAGCCGTAGCCGTAGCCCCCCCTTCCATAATACGAGCCTCGAAAACGACCACCACGCCCAGGCCCACGACCACCTCGGCCACCCCGGTACCTTGAAAAATCACCAAATGTCTGTACACAAGAAACAGGTAAGCATGTGTGTGTATGAGAGAGTAAAAACTAAAACCAAAACTGCAAAATGGTAATTTCAATTTTCACCTCTGTGTCTATCTTCATTTGCTCAGAGAACCTAGTCCTTCCATTATTTGAATCATGATCAAGAGCATTGCAAGAGAGGGAATCAAAAAAGTCATCCTTATTGTAATTGGGCTACAAAACAACAAAACAAAACAAAATGTGATGTAAGAAGACATGGAAAATGGATAACAAGATATCTTCATTCACATTGGTTGAATCTAGCTTTAAAAGAGGTCAAATAAATAAATAAATAAGACGATGGCTATCTTACTTTCATCTCAAATTTCACTAATTCGGCATTGTCTTCATCTTGATAATCATCTTCGTCAGTGCCATTCCCATCCCCTTCTTTGTGAGATTTGTTACTTTTGCCAAGATGGCCCCATACTTCATCCTTCTTGAATTTCTCATTCATTGCCATAAAATCAAAATCCTCAGTAAATTTGGTCACTGGGCGAGAACTCTGCAAACCAATGTTCAAGATTCCATGTTATCGAACCACCATTTAAATTAGATTACCATAAATCATAGTGTCAGTACATAACAGAAAAAATACAAACTGCTTTGTAATCCTATTAGATCTCACAACACCACTCCAATTTCTAGTAGTTACATAAATCAACGCATTCTTTAACGCAAGCAACATCTCAAATCAGGAAACAATTGGAGCTACACACAATGCTCTACTAGTGAAGTGCCACTGACACAAAGAAGAAAGAACCTTTAAGTAAACAAAAATTAATACTTCGAAGTTAAAATGAACTCACTGTGCAGCAAATGAACTCACACCCTAAGTATAAGCAAAGATGCAAAAGAATAAGATCACACACAAAGCATTAAGCATTCCACATTATGTCAAGTGGCCCCCCGGTACATACACACATGCGCGCGCACACACACCCAAAAAAAAAAAAAAAAATCGCTATGGAACAACTAATGAGATAGCTCATAACTACAAGCAAGGCTGGAAAATACACAGTACACCTCATCAGGATTCTTGTTACCAGAATAAACCATTGACTATCAAACGATAAAGAAAATAACAAGGCTCGACGTAAACATATTTCTGTTTACATTCTTCAATGCTTGAGAAACACCTAGCTTTTAACTAAAAACAAAAATTAACAGGCTTGTTTGGTTTGTATCTCAAGATACAATTTTTGAGAAATTTTTAAAATGTTATTTGGTTCAAATTTTTTGAAAATTTTTTTCAAAATCACTCTCCTACACATTAATCAATTACTTTTTCTCTCTTCTCTCCTCAATCACTTTTTCTCTCACACACATTTACTAAACTAAAACAAAATATCAAATCATCCCAAATTCCAAAATTATTTTCAAAATATACAACCAAACAAACAAACAAACAAAAAATTCTAAACTCCCTCCCAAATTTTTTTTTTGAAAATTTATCTCAAAACACAAACCAAACACATCCAACATCTTTCAATAAATGGATTTAGTAAGGATGGGTTTAGATATTGGGATAAACTACCAATATGTCCTAATAATTAAACTCAATTTCCATCAAGTCCTATTGAAAATAAGTCCTAGCAAAATAGTCACTTCAAATAATTTTTTGTGACGATTTTTTGCATGTCGCTAAAAATTGACAATTAGTGACTTTTTTAATCACGATTTTTATAAATTGTCTCTAAAACTTACAATTATTGACATTTTTCTATGACGAATTTTTCAAATTGTCACTGAAAGTTGAAACTTTGCGACTTAATTTTTGTGACAATTTTCAAATTGTAACTGAAAATTAACAATTAGTGACATTTTTTAATAATATTTAATGAAAAACGCCATTAATTATCATAAGACCGATTGGACAATAAGTACATCTATTAGAACTTACATGTAAGTCTCCCTAGATGTTGCCCCATGACCCATATTCTATGGTTTGGTCGAGTTCTACAAGCACAGATTGGTATTTCCAACAAAATCCATAGATGGTTTTGAGACTCGTAAATCTTTGGATCCAAGACAATAAGACAAAGATGTAATTTATAACCCATCAAGCAAAGCATATGAAATATCCTATGACAAATGGTTCTTCTATCCCCTTCTATCTTGCTATGTGGTTAGCTATGAAACACGGGTACTCCGAAAATGTTGTTGTACTCGTACCGGATACTGGTACGTGTACCGATAGGGCTGCACGCGTATCGAGTACTTGAAATACATACCGGGTACGTTTTTTTACTTTAATTACAAATCATTTATTTGATGTGCCAGAGATGAAAAATATATTATTCAATAATGAAGTTTATGGGAGTGAAAATTGAATTTTCAAATTTCCAAATTTTACTTAGCTTGCTTTTGAAATGAAACTTTACTTTATAATTTCTCCTATTTAATGGCATTAAAATAGTTTATGGACTTTGCTTTGGTATTGATAGAGTTGAACTACGATATCTCTTTGATTTTGTAATTTCTCCTTTTAGTTTGGTATTGAACTTTGATCTGTAGGTTGAATCTCAAACTATAAATTATAAAAAATAAAAAAATTATTGATGTACTCCAATCAAACTTGAATCCTATTTATTCTCGGTCTTTCCGTATTGGCGTATTCGTACCAATATCCATACCAGCACCCGTGCTTCATAGGTGGTTAGTCAGATAAGGAGTTAACAGGACACCACATGCTATGTGGAAGCCCAGTTAACAGTCCAGATACCTAATCTGACAGATTTAAATATCAACTTGATTTCGAATAACTAGATTCTAGCAACCATAAAATATCTGAAATAAAAACTGCTCCTCTTCAATGAGGATACCCTCTCCCAACCAAAACCCCATTTGCCACCTCAAAAAAGTGCTAAAGAGAGATAGAGGCACCATCAAATTGCCAGTTTGCAAACTCCCCACCACATCACTGGTAAGTCCATACAACTGCTGCATCTCCATTTTCTAGATCCACTCTCTTTATAAACTCTTATTGCTGACAGATGTAAGGTTTGCATCAGCTACACACCCTTCCTCAACAGCCAAAGGCAGTGGCTGCTGAGCAAATCCTTTTTAAGATTGACAAGTATTCTTTTCCTCTCAACAAAACCAAAAAAGTGTTTTTTTTTTTTTCCCCTTACAAATATTCTTTCCCTTGCTGGTTCCTTTATTTACGTCTGTCTATATAGGTCTCGAGTGTATTCTCCTTCCCCCAACGTTCTTCCCCCCTATTCTTCTTCTACTCCTGCCTCATTCCCTCATCTCCTCCATTACCAAGGTTCATCTATTTCCCTCACTTTCTTTTCCATCTCTGCTCTTTCTTGTTTCCCTTCTCTGCAGGAGTGCAGGTCTTTCACTGTGCTACATATCTCTCCCTCACAGAGACTGGCATTCCGGGTGGGTTTCACCTTCAGCCTTCAGCTTTGCTCAAAAAAGTTGGTTTCACTTTCACCTACTTGATTATTAGGGGAGAAAAAGACTTTTTTGTAATCTTTGGTAGTTCAGATGGCTGCTTCCATGTGACCATAACTCACAATTCAATGATGTGATCTGTGCATTATGTAGTTTATATTATTTAGTAGGAATTAATCCCTACTAAATACTTTCATAAGACAACCCAATCACTTATAAGTGCAAGTGGTAATTCTTTATACATCCAGTATAAACTTCCAGAAGTATTAATTTGTAATCAAAGATTATGTCTTCCTACTTCTTTTGTTCTTATTAAAAACATGTCTCAGGCCATAATCCTAGAAACACCTTTTCTGTGTTTGCTTATGTCAATTTCTAAAATTGATTCTATTGGCATACACACAACCTTAAATAATCAACCGATTATTTTTGAGTTCATTACAGAACCTTATACAAAAGAATTAGATCGGATTAAGGATCTAGTTAATTTCAAAGAAAAACAAATTAATTTCCTCCAAAAGGAAATTAGCTTTTTAACTACGAACGACTTCAATAGTCTTCTTTCCAGCAAAAAATCACTTGAACAAGAATTTCAACATGAAATCTGCAGTGATATTCCAAATGCCTTTTGGAATAGGAAGACACATAGTTTCTCTTCCTTATGAAGCAGGTTATGATGAGGGGAAAATCCCTACTCGCGCTCGACCAAGTCAAATGAAAAAAGAGTATTTAGAACTCTGTAAATCAGAAATTAATACTTCTCTCCAGAAAAAGCTTATTCGATCCAGTAGATCTCCTTAGAGTTGTACAGCCTTTTATGTTAATAAAAATGCAAAAATTGAAAGAGATGTGCCAAAATTGGTAATTAACTATAAACCTCTTAATAAAGCCTTACAATGGATAAGATATCCAGTTCCAAATAAAAAAGATCTTTTAGATCGTCTCCAGGATGCAATCATATTTTCTAAATTTAACATGAAATCAGGATATTGGCAAGTCCAAATCGCTGAACAAAACAGATACAAAACTACTTTTACAATACCTTTTGGGCATTTTGAATGGAATGCTATGCCATTTGGATTAAAAAATGCACCTTATGAATTCCAGCAAATTATGAATGATATATTCAATCTTTATACAGAATTTTCCATTTGCTATATTGATGTTGTTTTAATATTTTCTTCATCAATTGACCAGCACATGAAACATCTTAACATTTTTAAGCATGTTATTATTAAAAATGGCTTAGTTGTTTCTGCATCAAAAATGCAACTTTCTCATACTACAATCAAATTTTTGGGTCAAAATATTCACAATGGTACTATTATTCCCATAAATAGAAGCATGGAATTTGCATCTAAATTTCCAGATGAAATTAAAGATAAAACTCAATTGCAGAGATTTTTAGGCAGTTTAAATTATATTCATGATTACTATCCTAACCTTGTTACAGATGCAGCTATTTTATATTCCAGACTCCGGAAAAATCCTCCTCCTTGGGGACCAGAACATACAGACGTTGCTCAGAAGATTAAGACTAGAGTTAAAACTCTACCTTGTCTTTCTTTACCAAATCTAGAATGGAAAAAAATTGTAGAAACTAATACTTCGAACTTAGGTTATGGTGGCATACTTAAACAATTTAATCCTAACAGTAACAAAGAAGAACTTTTAAGATTTACTTCTGATATTTGGCATCAAGCTGCTAAAAATTATCCGACAATTAAACAAGAATGTTTAGCTATTGTTAAATGTGCCTTAAAATTCCAGGATGATTTATTAAATCAACATTTTTTAATAAGAGTTTATTGTTCTGCAGCAAAACAGATTTTTAAGAAGGATGTTAACAATCTGGCTTAAAAACAAATTTTTGCCACATGACAGGGCCAACTTTCAGTATTTGATTTTGATATTGAACATATCAAAGGAGAACATAATTCTCTTCCTGACTTCCTAACCCGCGAATATTTGCAGGGTCCAAATAATGTCCAGTAGAGGCCAAGGCCCGGGCAGACGGGGCCGTGGGCAGGGATCCAATCCCTATCATAAAGAATTTCCAGGCTTACATGCCTTTTCCAGTAAAAAAGGAGAATCTAGCCA